TTGTCAGCAACGGGAAAGATAGTAAAGTTCAGGGCTTCTGAAACGGTATGTGTTGTGTGTATGTGTGTGTGTGTGAGTGCTGGAGGGATAGTAGAAGAGAAGGAATCTTTCTGTTGAATGATTGGAAAAACAACCAAATGAACCTTTTACTTTTAAGCTCTTACACTGTCAGTAATGGAGAACAACCAACAACACCATAATGTAAAACACAGCATCACAGCACAGGGTGAAGTTCGTAGCCAGGACTTAATGTGTATTTTATATTGAAAAGACATTTATCCTCTCCCCATACCTGGAATACCACAGGAACAATGAATAACCATGCCATGAAAACAGCAATCAGTTGACAGGAACTAGTTAATTATGAGGGCCAGTTCCATAAATGGAAGCCCTTAGAGTGGTATTAGCCTTTCTGTGCCTCAGTTTCCTCATCTGTTGATAGGATTAATAAGGGCAGTTGTGAATATCGCATGAATGCTATGTAGAGAGTGTTAAGAATAGTGACTGACATCTAGGAAGTTCTCAATAATTCAAATATTTCTTCCTTCTTAAATTAGAGAGAGATAAGTACTTAACAATAACCCTGAGAATGACTCAAGAAAATTAAGTAATTCATAATAGTTCAAGAACAAACCTTCCCCATACGCTGGATAAACGTGTGGCACAGTTATCCACTAGATAATTCCACGTTGAAAAATTTAAAATTATAACTTGTGCCAGAATTATTTTTTGTATTATTTAGTCCCGACTAAAAACTTCAGATACAGAAAGATTTGCTCCAGGTATTTAAATACTCTGCAGCAGATATAAACACAGCTGTTACAGCGTAAGGGAAGAATCGCTTACAGGAGACCATGGTAAGGATGAAAATCTACTGTGCCTATACTTTCCTAAGTGGTTTTTTTTTCATATTTTCTATTTCTTAGCACCTAATTGTCTTAAAAAATGCAAGCCCAGTTCTGTAGGGCCTTGAAAAGCTTTTTTATTTGGTAAATTGGGTTTTTATATTCATTTTAAACAAAGTCCAGAATGATAGCAGTTATAGGGAATGGAAGATTATTGAAATGATAGACTGAGTAGTGTGTTTCTCAGGTTATGCAGATCAGGAAAATGTGTAATTATTTCTGAGTTTCCCAAGGTTCCTCTGTTCAACATAATGTTCTGACATACAGAAGGGACAGTCCCAGATATGAAATGCAAATCAGTAGGTGCTACCTCTGCTGCTGATGCCGGGGTTAATCATGCAAATCTAATGCAGTTCTTGGTATTTCAAGAAAGGTTTTAGTTGAAGTCCCATGCACGTATTGATTTAAAATTCCCACTTTAGAGAGCCGTGTAATTTTTTCAGCTTCATATTTTAAAATACAGAACAGGATTTGGAAGACAGATTTAGTGACTGGACATCCATCTGTATTTGTTAATCACGGAAAGTAGTGTGAGTAGGGGCCAGGGAGGAGGGAGAAAGGGTCACCTTTGAAGAATGTGAGGATTTCTGAGCATATTAAATTATACATTAGAACTAAATTTACAAATGTTCTATAGAAAGTCTCTTTGCTTGGAATAAGGTCAAATCAACCAATTATACATGTTTACTGAATGCCCGCTCTGTTCAAAGAAGATGGCTAGAAGTGGCAAGGACAAACCAAATCAAAAATAACACTATAACAAGTTCCTAACTTTGGGAATGATAATAAAATACCTTTGGAAATGAGACTGTTTACAGGAAGAAATGAAATTGTCTTGCTCACGCGTACAAGCTGACACATTCTAATAGCCTTTCTGCTGTGCACAATAAGCGTTAAGCTTATCTTTCCAAGAACAATAAAATTTCATGTACTGCTGCCTGACGTAAGAATTATTTTTACATATCTACATATCGCTGACTCTCTTGTAAGTTAATCTCATCTCACATGAATTTTTCACCAGCTTCACTCTGATGTTGATAAAGGAGATGGTTCCATCAAATACATCTTGTCAGGCGAAGGGGCAAGTTCCATTTTCATTATTGATGAGAACACTGGGGATATTCACGCTACCAAGAGACTGGATCGCGAGGAGCAGGCCTACTACACCCTCCGAGCTCAAGCGCTGGACAGGCTCACCAACAAACCCGTGGAGCCCGAGTCTGAGTTTGTCATCAAAATTCAGGATATCAATGACAACGAACCCAAATTTTTGGATGGTCCATACACTGCAGGAGTTCCTGAAATGTCTCCTGTGGGTAAGTAAAGAACATGCTGCTTTTGTAGTGAGTTTCTGATGTTAGGAGGTTTGTATTTAAAATTGAATTGTCATTAAGAACTGGGGAGAAAAACACATTGTATGTGTATAGCAACTACTAGGATGAAAGGAAACTTTGAGACATGTTAGTGGTCAGTACCCTTTAATTCAACACATTGTTTTATTTATATGAAAAATTAGGAAAATTTTCCTTTTGCATAGCTATCTCAATGTCCTGAAGAAATTATTTATATTTCAACTATACACACACACACATGTAC